ATATATGTACATATGCTGGTATAGTCCACCCAAACACATAGAAATCCTATTCCATGAGTGGAAGATCCAAACACTATTTGATATTACTTTATGTTGCATTACATGACTTTTTTTAGTATGATTTAGTTGTGTTAAAATTGCTTGTACTAAGATGTAATGTACTTTTTAAAATGTTCTTCCTTGTTGACACTTTTATTTCATAATTTCGTTTCATTTAAATAACCTTTGTCATTCAACGTTGTGTACAGTGCCACAAATTGGCATATACATGACCAACTTTAGGGACTCTTATAAATTGTTGTACGTGTAAATGAGAAAACTAAAATTTCATATTGTAAATGGCCACCTTATGTCAACAATAATGCAACACTTAACTTTAATAGTAATATACTTATTTTATGTTTGGTAAATAAAGGTTTGCGGCAAGATGAGAGGGAGGGTAGGGTATTTTGGGGATGGCCATGCAAACTAAGTCCTATTTGGGGAATTTATGTTTTGGACTCCTATTTAGGTATATTTGATATGTTTTAGTCCTATTTAGGTTTTTTTCCCCTTCCTTTCCTACTATCCCCGATCACTTAATCGGGGGCGCTATGACGGATGAAGAATTCGACCAGATTTATTCTGGTAGAGGGGACGCAAATCTCCCCACTCTTGATAGTGTATTCGAAGATTTTTATAAGCTCCTTCGAGGGTTTCTTTACGGTTCTTTACCTCGTCACTTTTTTTGAACCGTCAGGATATTAAATGTGGTTGTTCTTCAGTTAGTGTATCATTCATTTAAAATATTTAAATAACAACTACATTTTTAGATTTTTTATTTCATTCTTTCCTTAAAGAATTGCAAATTTAAAATTTTATACTTTAAAAATTTTAAAAAAAGCAAAAAAAAAAAAAGGAGGTGGGGCGAAACCGGCCGGTCCGGTACCGGAACCGCCGGTCCGGGAACCGGAACCGGTACCGGCCGGCACGGTGACGGTTCCGGTGACATGGGGTGGCGGTACCGGAACCGGCGGTTCCGGAACCGGAACCGTACCGTGTCCACCCCTAGTCACAACTCACAATAATACTCCCTCCGTCCAAAAATATTCTTCTCATTTTCTTTTTTGGTTCGTCCGGAAATATTCTTCCCATTTCCTTTTTTAGTATACCTTTAAGAATAAATATCAATAATATCCTTCTATTTTATCACAAATATACTTTTTTAGTACTTTTTTAATAATAAAAGGAGATTTAAAAGTTTATAGTATTTGCATTTTTGAAAATTTTGCATTTTTTTACTATTCCTTAATAAGCGTGCCAAGTTAACACGGGAAAAATATTTCCGGACGCAGGGAGTAACAATTAAGAAGGACCATGCTACACTTACACCAAAAAATATATCCTACTTGCGGGTACAAATTGGAGTATAAATGTTGGTGCGTTAACAAGAATTAATTTTACACCAACACAAAATATTGATGTAAACTTGCAGGGTACAAATTGGGATATAAATTTTGGGGTACACATAAGACCAAAACGGTACGAGACGTGACCGCCTCCCCCCATACCACCTTTCTGTGATGGGAGATGCTAGCGGAAAGATGTACCCCAAATGTACACCATATGCTTCTTTATCATTCATTTTTATTTCATTTTATTTATTTATTTATTTTGAATTTTACATGCAAATTTTTGTGGTTATGGAGGGGGTGTAGGATATTTGGGGTACACTTTTGGATTTTCTTTCTGTGATACCGATGCTCCTCCTTTTATTGTCCATTTTTCATTTAATTTTTTACGGTCTCTAATTTCATACTTTGATCATTAATATTTATATTTATACATATATATAGTTTATAAAAAATTGAAGTTTGGAAAGTATATTTCAATAGGAATATATTGATATAAAATTCATATCATAATATAATGTGCTTTTTCCACATATCGAAGTCAAAGTTAACAAACTTTGACCAAGAAAAGACAAATGGGAATAACATTTCTAGACGGAGGGAGTAATTCTTAAGGCCTATTTGGTGAGCATATGAGATATGATTTTTATATTTTCCAATAATATTTTTTTGTTTGATGAAATATAACAAGAATTCAATTTATATTTCTAAATATCACAAATTTTCTTCAAATAGAATGTTTCGATATCTTTTGAATTTGGGAGATATCAATGTGGAGATTTGATATCTCCCTCAATACTTCCATCCCCCGCCATTACTACCATTGTCATCTCACACTACCCTTGTTGCCGGTGACCCCTGCTAATCACTATTAAATCATAATTTTAAATATCTCTAAACAACTTCATTTCAGAGTTCGAAACTCACATCATTTTTTCTAGATTTCAAAATTCATATCATATCATATATCCAAAATCACCAACACATCCTTAATCAATAAAAATTTAACTTGCATAAATCTTAAACAATCAAAATAATTCACATAATTACTCCATTGTATAAGTCATGTTCTCTTCACCTGATATGAATGGTTCTGATTGGAATAAGTTTTGATCTGATATGGTCTGATCTAATATGAATGTAGTTATATTTAAAACAATTTCTAATCTAATCTGGTCTTGCCTAATAGATCTAATCTGATCAGATTCCAATAAGAAAATGTAATAAGTTGGAGAGAACATGACTTAGTAGTCAAACTCACATATCACACATTTTGCTGAGTAAACTCCATAATTGGTCCTTTATAATAGGGGGGTTTCCATATTTAATCCTCTATTATCAAATATTACTCCCGTAGTCCTTTTAATCTAAATTGATTATGGAAAACATCAATATTTTATTTGCAATATCAAAAGGTGTGTAAGATCAAAGGTGACATGATTATTATATTGTAAGATAGTTTATAGAGAATGGTATTGAAGAGTATTTTTGAAATTAGAAATGTGAAAGAATACTTGAGGATGTGTGAGTATTATTACTCATTTGTTTATACTTCCCCTGTCCCGGAGTATTCGTCCACTTTTGACTTTTAGAACTGTTCATCTAAGCACTTTGACTCATCAAATTCTCTTAATGTGTAAGTCTAAATACAGTTATGTACGATCTTGTTTGATTTGTCTTAACATATACTACCTCCGTCCCAAAAAGATT